TATAAAAGAGGATGTTGTGAAATCATATTTATATCGTATCCTCCTCTAGTTACCCTAGAATTTTGCCGAAGGTTTATCTTTCAATTGATTCAACGGCCCCATTCAGCGAATTATTATCCATGAAAGACATGAAATCTTGCTTCTGTCTGGAATCTATCCCGTATTGCTGTCGCAATTCCACAAAATAGACATTACGACAAAACGCATACACTTTTAAGGAAATGAGTGTACACCTTGAAACGCCTCATCAAGAGGAGTTCTGAGAGCGGGAAGTGAGAAGGGGTAAAAATAATGCAGAAGAGGGTTTATGGATGAAAGGGTAAATCAGGAAGCGTCGAAGCGTTTAGAGATTTAACCATCGTGTGAGAATATACGGAGAGAAGATATGAATGAACAAGTAAAATGAGTAATGAAGAGCCACGGAATTAGTGCCTCAACAATCAGCAGTTGGAAATAAAATAATGTTCGTCGTGGCATATAGCCAGGAGAGTAGTTGTTTTATTTTGAATACACCGAGAAAGCATGAATGTTTATCAGATAGAGAATGTGAATTCTCAATGTATTTCTTTGGATGTATCAATTCTTTTCATGCTCTTATAAAATATCTGAGCTGAGAATATTCCTTTTCAAACTAATGCTCAACTTTGTTTTATTTCCCATTCGGGATTGAGATATGTTCGTTCATTTCATACGTGGGAGTGAAGATCACATATCAGAGTATGATGATTTTAAGGATAATATCAAATTTCAAGATGGTTCTTGATTATCAGATAATCAATATACAGGGAGACAGGGTGTCCCATAACTGAAACTACAGATTTTATTGGTGAAAATATTGCGATTTGATTACACTTTGCTCAGTTGGAAAGTTGAATATAACCGAGATAGAATCCACAATTCTGACAATCACAGGAAAGTTTAACAGAAATGGAGTTTCGAAGTAAATGCAAAAAAATTTAAAATATTTACTCATAATGACATTTACAAATAATTCATTCTTTTATTCAAGAAAGTTGCACTTGTTTTATAAACCCAGAGCAGGAAGGAGTGGCATCTACCTACACACAATCTACCTCAGAATTTTTTCAATCTCTTGGAGAGCACGAAAGGAAATTCCTATAATGTTCGTGGAACATCGTGCGTGCCTAGAGAGGATAGGGAGAGGAGATAGGTATTGGATTTTTTTGAACTTTTGGGGGTTATAAGTTCTTGGAAATACTTTAATTGGCGAAGAATTCCAAACTTTCGCCGTTCTATAGACGAACGAGTTTCGGTAGAATGAAGAATGCTTACTGGGTCTGTCCAGTTCGTCTGACTGGTATTGGTAGTGATGAATTGATAGCAGAAATCTCGAAAGAACCCATAATTAAAAAATGTTATGTCAAAGTAGTGGTTCAATAATCAAGTAGAATACGGAAATTGAAAATTGAATTTTCAGTCGGAGACCCTGCATCTTGGTTATACTGAATTTGCCAACTGAAATAAGATATCTGCAGTTCTGCGGGTGTAGGCATCATCAATAAAGGGACACCCTGTACATGGAGTATTATGTTGGACTACTCTCAATCAAATTGATTCTTATATTTATTGTTTGTGATTCAATACCCACTGGTTTTTTATTCATTTTCAATAATCTCGAAAAACTCGAACCCTATACCTACTTTTCAGCGAAAGAAATGTCACAAAACTTAAAATCGCACTAAATATGCTGTCATTGCTTCGAAGCAGTTTATTCGTTAAGGATGCCAATCGATAATCGAATGGTGTCTGTCTTCCGACAAATTAGTGTTGTTGTATAACCCTCTTAAGAAACATTACTGTTTCATCATTTCAGTCATAGGAAAAAGAGTTTCTACACTCAGCTACTATTCCATTCTTTGTCAGCGCTGTCCGTCCATTTCCTTAGAATAGGTGTACAAATAAGGAAGAGAAAATATTTTAGGAAATCAAATTTCATCATATGGACGAAGACATTGATATATACAACCCAATTCGAACCCAGTAACTAAATAAATCGTAAATTGATCTAAGTTCATTCTGCAGAGGAATCAGAGGATGGACCTCTCCATATTTCGAATTGATCTGAGTGGGCATTACCTACCTGTGTGATTGTTCATGAATAGAACAAGTACACTGTCATTCAAAGATAAGATCGTTGCGGTTCTAGACTACCCTATATGTATGCAGATAGAAAATTGTGTACGAGAATTGTTAAGTGGATGCATATTTTCGTATGAATACATATTGACTAATTTCATATCCGGAACAACATGAAACTGGTTCCAATTGCAACAAGCGATTTCAATACGAAAAGGAATGACATTGAGTAGCGTACAGCTAGCTATATCATCTTCAATATTTTTGTAAGGTTATAGCACTTCGCCACAAAACTACGCAACGGTGTAGGATGGCTTTTCATATGCAAACAAGATTACCATTATTCACTTTCGACGCCGTTATACCTATCTATAGAGGAAAATTCGAAAATTCGAAGTGGTGATAAATATAAACTTAATTTTATCGTCATGATTGAAAACTCCCACTTGTATATTATACGGGTAAGAAACAAATGGAATATCAAATGTAAACTACTATCAAGTGAGCTATATTATTCAGGAGTAGCAGTCCAAATTGATAAATATTCAGTATTTACCCTGTATACACTTGTATTTGGAATATACTTCGATACGCATATATCGTTCTCGGATAAGGTGAATGAGAATATTTTTCAAAAATGTTTGACAATGCAAAGGAAGGTGTGATATGGGTTAGGGTCTTGTTGAACTGAAAGCGGAAAGTAAGGAGAAGGAAGTAAAGGAATTCATTTTTCATCTGGCCATGCATGGATTCCGGACATATTTTATACATTCTCATGGAAATACATTTATTCTATTATTGAATAATACTTCACTGGGTACTCGATTTCTCATAGGTAATGATAGAACGATTAACAAATATCGTGAAATCCCTTCATAATTGTTCATTTAGTTCATTATTCTGGACCATATCATTTTTGAACTGATAACAACAGAAAACCAATTGATGAAAATTCTGGTTATTTTAGAAGACCTCAATGTGCGAACAGAGGAAATTGTATGTGTATGCTGCTTCATTCAATGATAGTTTTAGATAAAGTATGGTATTTCACTCGCGCATAATGTTTATATATCATCATCCTTACATGAGCTTGTTGAATAGTGCATATTATCTGCTATTATTTATTGTGCTGAAGTACGATCTTTGGTTGATTTGTGATTTGCAATTCAGGTAGACTTATCCCTTCTTACTTCGCCAATGATAATGAATTTCTCAAGAACATCAAAAATCAATGTCGATATATGTACAGTTTATCGAATATAGTTTTCAATGGATGTTCTTGAAATTTCTTCATTGAAATTGAGTTCATCAGATATGATTCCGTAATCTTCTATAATTTTACTCAATTATATCTGGTGATTGTGAAACGGTGGAAAATGCAGTGGAATCTCTAGCAATCCATAATAGCTGTATAACTTTTCTGACGAAATTGCTTGTTGCATAACTTCATTTTCCGCTGATTTCGTCTTATGTAGATGCTTGACAATTGTTTGTTCAAATTCAAAATTAAGGTATGTCATTTGAGAAGAGGGCATTGTATTTTCAACTTTACTCATAAATTGAATTGGATAGTTATGAAAATTAGTATTGATTTGAATATTATTTGAAACATTGACTTATACCGGGCGTCCCAGAGCTTTGAGCCCAGCAGATACCTGGGTTATCTGAAATACAAAATATTTCGAAAAATTATGGAATTTGTGGAAGCAAAAAATCTCCAAGGTGGTGAGATTAAATCACCCTTTTGTCAATTAATCTACTAGAAACCACACCTTACTTATGTTTTTCAAATGGCACCCTCATGTTTTCTTCGGTTTATCCTTCAAAACTTCTCATTCTCAATTCGACTATACATCACGATTGATATAGCGTTAATCAGTTATTCCTTGAAAAATCAGAGCTGCACACGAAGTATATGTAGCAAGAGATAATAGTAATTTCAAACAATAATTCAAGGAAAAATCGATATTTTTTCATAAAAATTACTGGAATTATTCGAAATTTCCGAGAATTAATTTCCTCCTGAATGTCTTGTCCGATTATATCACTGAACTGAGGATGAAAAGTTCTATATAAGATGAACTATAGAAAATATGGTGATGCAATTTGAAATTTTTTCGGTGATTCGAATTCATTGAATTGGAGAGTTTTGCCCGATGTTCCACGAATATTATAGAAATTCCCTTTCGTGCGCTCTAAGAGTGTATATATATAATATTCCACAATTTTCTGGAACTTTTTTCACACGATAGATCTTCCAGGTCGCAGTGTATAGGTATTCGCCCCTTATAGGCATGCAATATACATTTATACATATAATTTGATTCAATGACTTGCTGTATATAAGTGAATTTGAACTAACAATATATTGTATATTCTGAACCTATATCTGAATAAGTATCTTTGAAATATGTATTAGTTCAGCGGTGATCCGTTTATTGGAAAAACACAAGGAAAAAGGGAAATTTATGAGTTTTCTTCGTGAAGTCAATTCGATGAATGGAAAAGAAAACTCATCTGCCTCTTGTTGAACGAGACAAAACATATTAATTCTATCGTAACAACTGAAGCAAATTCTGGACGAAAATATAAATAGATTCAGTTCTCTGATAATGAATTCTTTTTAACTGTCTATGTGGCTGCAGTAGAATCCTGATATACTAAAGTTAAATAACTAACAACTTTACGGAATCCACCAAAACAAAAAGTGTTTGAAGCGAACTGCGGCTCTGGCTGCGACTCAGAAACAATAAGTATCTTTAGTGTTTCCCCTTTTTCCTGTCCGTGATATAATATCAATGAAATGAGGTTAAGGAACGCACCGCTGGTACTTAACGTTGAAACGAACGATAATCGAATGGAAGCTTGTTCCCCACAACTGTTCACATTTCATTTTGAATCAGGTCGCTTGGATAAAGGCTGATACAAAGGCAATATTAGCTATCCACGAGCACGTTATTACCAACAACGCACGATTATCTGTTACACACAACGACTACAACACATGGACGTTGAATATAAAGGGCGTGAAGAGAGAGGACAGGGGACAGTACATGTGCCAAGTCAACACTGATCCCATGAAAATGCAGGTAAGCAAAACTTCCTATGTTCGTTAGCGTTGAGCAGTTTATAGATTCATTCGGGTTGCGATATCAGAACTGTTCAAGAATCGTTCTCGAACTTCGTAGAACTAGTGCGCAGTCGATTCGAATCCTAGGACTGTTTCAGAACGATTCACAAATTATGAAAACCGGAACGCGGCAGAAGGTAACCTCTGAGAACATAACCTCTATTCATAATCTGCAAAAAAAACAATAGTTTGGAACCTGTATCTTCGAACAAGTGACGGGACTAATAACCGGTCACTGCCCCTTGAGGAAACATATGCATCAAATGGGCATCTATACAGACGAACCCATATGCGCAATGAGGAGGAGGAAACTGCCACCCATGTAATATTGGAGTGCGAAGCACTAGCGCGTTGGAGATACAACCTTCTGGGAGCAGTAAACTCTCAAGAGGCATTTTCAAAGAATGATTTGGTGAAGAGGCTGCTAAACCTCATCAAGGTAGTGAACCTGTTCACCTAAGTCAACAGCATGATCGGGAATACAATAGGCCCAAGGCCTGCAGTGTTTTGGGCTTCAAACCCTGACTGATCATTCTGCTATTAATCAATCAATCAATCAATCAATCAAAGCTTCAAACTCTCCTATGAGTCTATTCACAATAGAGGAATAGTAAATATATTCCATCATAGCATAAGTAGCTAGACTTTCAATATGTTTCGTCCCTTGTACCTACATGAATTTCGACACCCACCTGAAATGTTCAATGAATTGTGTATCTGAGTATAACGGCAAAGTATCCCCAACATAATCCTCCATTTTTCGGATTATCTAAGAAAAGTTCGAGAATTATCAGATTAGGCACAATATTTTCAGCAACTTCAGCAAGGAACTCCTTCACCACTGCGTTTTGAAGATGAAGAACTACTAATATCAAATGAATGTACTTACTCCATGATATTACTACAACAGACAGAATCGAAAACAAAATGAAATAAGCATGCGCCAAAAGTAATCCTAGAACGGTTCATGCTCGAGAGCAGGTACTGGTTTCGGATAGTTCTAGGACCGTCCCAGGACGATTCTGGAAAAACCCGAACGCGTAAAGAATCAGTCCTAGTAACAGTTCCACAAAACCCGAACGCGACCGATTCTACTGCGGAAACTCCTGACAGTTCTAGAACCGTAAAGGTTTGTTTCTGTGACCGTAATAGTTCGAACCCGAATGAATCTAATATTTTTTTGGAGGCGAGGTGCCAGGGAATGCGGAATAGAATAGGGAACGCAGGTGAAACGAAAGCTCCCGATTCGAAACTAGATCCCTACAAACCGCATAGTGGTTGGTCTCTCGTGGGACGAACTATGTGCAAGTTTATTCACTAGCCATTAGAGGAGACGCAGAGTGTCACTATCTCCGGTCGCCTTGCAGAAACAATTAGGTGCGAGACCATTTCTTCAACATGTAGTACAGAGTGTCATTTGAGAATGTGACCAAACTTTAGCGGGCAATTTTTTGAGTGATTTTTAGACGAAAAGTTCGTTCGTAAATCCAGTTATGGCTGAGTCATCTTCTCACTACTTCAAATAACACTGCAACATTTTTACAAAACTGCATAAGAGATTTTTACAATATTGACGAACAACTGATTTCTCAAAAAAATTTGACGCCCTGTGTCTTACATAGGGTGTATTTCCAGACCTATGTTAACATAACCTTTCGACTTAGGAACTCCTAAAAAATCACCCCTTGAAGTTTGGCCAAGCTTGAATGACACCCAGTATAGTTCAACAGAAACAGTACTTTTGAATCCACCGTAATATGGAAAAAAAATGACTGATTAGATACACTACTTATCAAATGAACTGCAGTGAAGTATATGTGTATGAAAAAACATGTTCAATTTTGTGGGCCTCCGACGAAATACCACTCCGAGTGATCGAACTATACTGTGCCAAAAAAATATAAACTGCTCAACTTCAAACGTTGAATCGAAATTCGACTGCTTTTACAGATTTCCAATTTCTTTTCAGTTTCTGAATGTTTGTTTCATTGACTTTGAAATGATTATTCCTCCTCTTTAGAATGAGATTCTACAAGATCATATTCAAAGCTGTGCAATTTTTCAAAAATTTCGAAGGCTTCCCGTTCGGAAGGAAGATTGAAGGTGAAAAACATATCGCATTATCTGTTATCTCGAAACTATTTTGAAATTCTTCGAATTACTACACTCAATACTGAGATATGGAAATTTGTATAAGATGATGCATACTTTGATGCTATATTGGCTTTGTGTTCATTTCATTCATTCATTTTAAGTTGAAAATTGATCAAAATATTTCGAGTGTTGGGAAGTTCACTTGTTAATAATCAAAAGTATATGCACTGAAGATTTAACATTTTTGCATGGCTTCAAACCTTGCGAACAGATTTTGAAACCATGAATTTGTATTGACAGGATTTAAGTTCATTTGTGACCAGTTTGGATAAACATTTCAAATCGCAGATGGGTCTGATGTCCTCATGTTGATGATATTATTCTAGATTACTGTGCCATTTGTTAGCTTTCTCGATGACCACTTAGAATCCAATTAGTCCTGTTCGTATATGCATCTGAATGGCCCCACTTGTAGCAATTGCCCGAACAGAATCGGTTTAAATGCTTTCTTCGAAAGTGACAGTTCCTTCCCGTGGGAAACTCTAACCCTTATGCCGTGCCTTTGGAAGAGGGTCGTGCAAAATGTGCTGCTTGCACATAAAAAACGCGATTCCGTATCGGTTTGGCACACAAAGATTGTAAAGAGTTTCGCAGGGTAGCTGGACATTGGATATTGGCTCGAGGAATTCTACCTTTTTCACTTAGCTTGCAAGTTTTTGTTAAGCTGATTTGCTCGAAAGATTTGCATAACATTGGATAAGATATTTCGATTTAAAAAAACTCTTTTGAGTCTGAACATATAATAGGAGTGGGGCATATATCCTTTCTTCAGGCACTTGCTCTAGAACATATCATGATGTCACAAAGATCGAGAAACCCAACATCATTACCACACTCTGGTGCATAAACTGAACGAAAAATGGTGGATAACAACAAGATAAACAAGATAGAGAGCAGCTACTTTCCTGGCTATAGGCCACGCAGAACATGAATTACATCCTCTCGATATCTATGCAACAATTCCTAAAAGACGAATAAGGTTGCAAATGTTTCTTTCCTAAACGCTGGATTGTGGTTGAATTGTTCAGGAACGCATGGACCACCTGCAGACCGGTTTCAAGCTTTTGGCTCTCATCAGTGCAGGGTTCTCCCCCAGATAGCATTCTTGACCGCTATCTGGTGCAAACCTGACCGAACGTAAACGCATCTCAGCATTTAATACAAATGAGGCATTCAATATCTGCGGAATGAACGCAAATACCGAACACCATCTGGCAAGGAAAGAAACACTCCAAAACAAGATCCCATTTCAGATGAAATGGGAGTGGCTGGTTGCCCGACTGGCGTATTTTCAACAAGGCAAATACTCAAAGTGGGATGCAATGGTCTTAAAGAGAGAGAAACTCAAAGTCATTATCACATTGGTGCATAAAATGAACGAAAAATGGTAGATAACGAGAGAAATACAATTACTTTCCTGGTTATATGCCACGCAGAACATTGAATTACATCCTCTCGATATCTATATGCAACGATTTGTAAAGACGAAGAAGGTCTATCGTATGGGTCCTCTATGATTTTTGATCGACTAAAACTCATTTCGCACTTTTGCAATCGTCAGAAAGACCAAAAATAATGGAAAAACTTTCTGCGAAACATTCATTCAATCATATTAATTGATTTCGATTGCCAAAAAGCAATTCCACGATATAGTTCTGTCACATGAGATAACTTCTTTATTGCTATAATTGCTATTTTCTTTCCAAATATGATATCCTCTTGGGACATGATGCTGAATTTCCATTTAGAACAAATCCTTTCTACATTATCGATGTGATTAATTTGAGTGTTACAGGATGGACCAAATTGGATACTTTCAAAGAGATACTCTTTTCCTTGGATCCTCTTGATTTTCTACTTATGATTCTTTGTTCCATCAATAACTTCAGCACAAGAATAATATAATTGTTTCTGAATCCGAATAAATAGGTAATTGAACTCAATGAAATTCATTTTATACCAGCATCATTACTACTCCATTATTTTCAAATCGAAATATTCCGAAAACGGAACATAGTATCGAGTTTCACCAAGAGTAGAGTACCTTTTTGGTGGGAAATTGAATGATGTTCAAGTTCACATCAAATTTGGATTGAAAAATCTAACCACAAAAAAGTAATGTCCAGAACTACTCGGTACGAACCGTGTAACTAGCGCCATCTATGAGAGTCAGGTATAAAAACAAATGCATGCGATGTGTCAGATTCCAAGATACATCCATACACAATTTCATCACAATGTTGCCAGTAGTTTCGACATAATCTTGAAAAATGTGTAAAAAAATCATTTTTTCAACGCCTTGTATCTTGATAACGGATGCCGTTACGAAATTTTTTGACTGAGTAAACCCAATTTATTTTGCAGTGTTCTTCCTACCCTAGTAAAGGGGTCAGGTTTTTTTGAAACACCCTGTATGGAAACGAGAGAAAATCCCAAAAAATCAAGTAAAATTAAAATAGCTATAGTAGTAGCTATATATAGTTCAGTTTGACCCAAAATGGTAGTCATTCCCTTCTTCTCCTAAGCGATTCAATTATAACTTAGTCTGCACGGAAAAAAGGAATTGTTGAATCAAGCAAAATTTAATTGAAATATACAACATATAATAATAATAATAATAATAATAATAATAATAATAATAATAATAATAATAATAATAATAATGGTTGATACAATGAAATATTTGTTTGATTCAATGAAATATTTGGTTAATTCAATGAAATATTTTGTTGATTCAAGAGAAACTTCGACAAATTGTTTTGTTGAACCAAATTCAATATTCAAGAATTTTCTGAAATTTCACATCGATTGAATAAACAAAACTAGGAAACTAGTCGACTCCTAGCATAGATCGTTAGTCTTTACTTCTCTTCAGCTGATGGAAAACTATTTCGGATTGCTAATCATCCTGAGTTCGATTTATCCAGCTGATATTTCAAACACAAAGAATCAGGCTTCACGTATATAATGAATTCGAGGCAGGCATAGACGAGGCGAAATGATCGCCATCTAGAGGCGAAAATTCAAGTTGATGTAGAATGAACAAAATATTTCATTGATATTACATATTTCGTTGCTCTATTCAAGCAAATGATCCGTTCGAAACGAGTTCATTGCTACATCGGATTAAGAAAACTTGTATGTTGTTTCAAAGATATATTCTCATCAAAATGATCATTGTTTGATCAAATCAACGAAATGTTTATAGTTGAATCCACATCGACATTATGTTTGATCGAAATAATTTGTTTTTGAGGTAACCATATATTTTGTTATATCGAAGACTGGAACCTTTGGCACGATAATACACTACACTGTTTCACCACTAACCAAACCGTTTTTTTTTATAACGCCTCGACACGTGTTTCGCTAACTATGTTAGCATCGTCAGGAGAAGATTAAAACAGTTCTAATCTTCTCCTGAAGATGCTAACATAGTTAGCGAAACACGTGTCAAGGCGTTATAAAAAAATTAAAAAATTAAAAAAAAAATCGGTTTGGTTAGTGGTGAAACAGTGTAGTATATATTTTGTTGGTGGGATTGATATTATACTGTTGATTCAATTAGACTAAATTCTTGATTTGAACAAGCTGCCTCCATGGAATAATCATGAATCTGGTTGATTCAACAAAAAAATGCTCAGTACAAATAAATAATTTGTTGATGCAACAAATCCTTTTTTTCCGTGTGAGTTCAATATACCTTCCCGTTGCTAGACCGCCTACCTGGAGGTGGTCATCCCCCCGGACATCGTCTACGAGGAGACCTCGGGCGACATAATGGTGCCCGAGGGCGGATCGGCGAAGCTGCAGTGCAAGGCCCGCGGGCAGCCGCAGCCGCGCGTCGTGTGGCGACGCGAGGACGGCGGGGCGATCCTGGTGCGAGGCGGGCAGGGCGGGCCGGGCGGGCGGCCGATGTCGGTCGAGGGCGAGACGCTGACCTTCACGAAGGTCACCAGGTCGGAGATGGGCGCGTACCTGTGCATCGCGGCCAACGGGGTGCCGCCCAGTGTCAGCAAGAGGATGATGCTGCACGTGCATTGTGAGTTGGGCCTTTTGTTTATCGTACGGTACAATAGAGGCCTTTTTGGGAAACTTACTCGGGTTGATCGGGTCCCTTACCTGAACTTTCGGTTACCTAAACCGAGTCACCTACCTCTGCTATGTTCCATTCCAAATTGCACACACTGTATTATGATTCTATGGATTATGAAATTGCTGTTGATTTTAATTGCAAAATGAGTATATAGGACCATAGCTACGCCAATGTTTAATGGGTTCAAAAGAACTGAACATAACATTCTCTACTTTGGTGGCTGTGAGTAGTGCATCCACCATATTTTGAACTTTGTTAGTTGAAGATCTATGGTTGAGTTATCTATCACAGAATATGGTGGATGCGCATACTTCGTCACCAAAATGTTCCTTGACTATGAAAATAGCCGAATTTCGACTCAATGGTGTAGCTCGAGTCCCATTGCCAGAATATTAGGAATCAAAATTCACAAAAATGTATCAGAATGAATTTCAACAATAGCATGTACCACTGCACTTCCAAGCATTTCTCGAAAACATGTACCGTCAAAACCAAACAATGGATCTGATCAGTTAATTCAAAATAGGTCACTAACTCTTCATATTGCATTATATCGGAGAACGATGATATGAATAAATAAACACAATACAGATCATTTGCGAATTTTGAAAACAGAAAATACTCATCAGAATAAAAGGAAGTTAGATCCTAAGAGATCATTGATTGGCAAATGAAGTAGCTACCAAAAATAAGATATAGGGACTGTTCCATCATAAAACCGACACAGACTCACTATTTTTGGTTGTATGATAAATTGATATTCATCATACAGGGCGTGGAAATAAACTCTGGATTGAGACTCTATCACGAATCTGTGATTAGAGGTCTATAAAAATGACAAGCTTCCATCGTTCAAGTTTGAACCCCTTGATTGGGTATGAAAGTGTTGAAAAGGAATATTCTCATAATTTATCTGAGAATATTCCTTTACAGACTACTAGCTTACAAGGATGTTTCCACTGAGGATGACCTTGATTTTGTGAAATAACATGTATGCCCGACTACCGCGCTACCCTATTGTATGGTATAGGGGTTGAAAATAAACATATATTTTTTGGAAACTGTGAGTGCGCATTCGCCATAAATTAAACTTTGTCTCGAGATTGAGTAAAATGGTGAATACGCGAAACTTTCCCACCAAAATGTATTCACAAGTAGTGTCGATCTGGAAAAACAAGCGTGCTCATTCGGATAGGTATTTGAAATAATCGATGTTTTCCATATAATTTGAATTATAAAACAAATACAAGTGAAGAAGGTTCAGTAGTAATATATTGGCGACGAGAATTGTTCAATCACCATAAATTATACTTTGTCTCGAAATTGTATGAAATGGAGAAGGCGCTATACTCGGCCACCAACATTTATTTTCAAATAATCAAGTGTCGATCTGGGAAAGCTAGTCGATAAGTTAGAAGACTACTACGAATAAATATAAATATCACGATATTGGATTCACCAAACTATTATATCGCTATTCTCCACCGAGCGTGCCCATTCGGATGGGAATTTATTATTTATAAAAATAATCGATGTTTCCTAACTAATTTGAATTATGAATGCAGTCGAAAAATGTCCGGGTCATTTCAGTTCATCTCTTCTAATTGGAGTTTCTATGTGACGAGAATAAACCGATATATATTTCTGACACTCCTTCCGTAATCACGTGATCCTCGAAAATAACGATAGCGTAGATGTGTTCTTCTACCTCTGGTGTTACTGCTGGGCACGTACAGGCCACTGTAATTGTTGTCTCGAGACTCTCCGAGTTGATTCTGATTGTTTTTTCTTCTTCTTGATCCTTGATAACGTTCTACAGATAGCCTGTAAATTATTTATCGGAACGGAAACAAATGCGGACATGAGAAGTTATCAGACAATAGTATATTAATCGACGAGCGCATAATGATGAAGATTGCAGTAGGAGGCGATGGCGAGTGCTATAATGATCCGAGTTGATAATAGCCTCTATGCGCGGGTAGAATACTATCCTTTATCTATAAGGATCCAAATATCAAAGCAACTTTGAACAAAGAACAAAATTACTTTATATATCCTTATTGGTGTCATAAAAAATGTTTTATCAAACATATCAAATTTCAATGAACAGTTTGAAACTTTTATTGATAATTTTCATTCTGAAAATATGATAAACAATGTTAGATCTACTTTTTATTAATAGGAAAAAGGTCGTGCTAGCGCATCAGACAATCTAATTAATTCAGTATGTGAAATGAATCATTTTCCATATAATTGCAGATTATCATTTATTTTTACATCGTAAGCATTTACTTCAAGACTGTTAATGCAGACTAATGATTGATGGCAGCTACAATCTTATCAACAATGGAGTTCGCTTGGAGCGCATGAAATGAAATCCTCATACAGACTGGGCCACAAGGAAGTGTTCGTACGCCAATCATGTACAGAGGTTGTTCAGGAAAATATCGAATGATCATCTTCTACTCAATTGAAGCACTCTGTAGAGTGTCCATAAAACGCATTGTAATGCGTCCAGTCAAGAGATTCTACAATATCAAAAAAGTACGAAATGGCGTATATACTTGAGGATAATCTCTTATGAATCTCTTTTCTGAATACCTCCTTGTGAACTTCTGAGTTTCCATTGGAAAATTGCTTTTTAGATTGTCTTACGTAAGAGCATATTATATTATCCTTTCCTGAAGTTTCATCCAGAAGTTTTGCTACCGTCATATATCAGCCCGATGGTAGATATCTTCAGTAATGTATTCATAAGAATTGGTATTCAGTAATACTTCTTCGTGGATTTTTTCAAGAGAATCAGAGTAAATAATTGATTGGTTTTGATTTTTTGAGGTGCTCTTGATCATATTTTCTCTATTGCTCTTTTCCTAGGTATGTTTTTCTCTCATCTCAACCAATAGACGTATCAAATTTTCGAAGAGAATTAGCGGAAATCTGCTCCCCACAAAATTAAACGAATCGTTCGCTAATATTCAAAAAGCCGTTTAATTTGCCCGTGTTTCTGTTCAGTTTATTCTTATTAACGCGATATGAACCAATTTTGTCTGAACCATTTATGTCATTTCTCAGTATCTCCAGAATTCTCCTATAACCGAACTCTGTGAAATACTTGTCACGTAATAAATAAGCGTTTTATCTCTTCGCAGATAGAATATACGGTTTATTTCAAATACGACGTGATCCAGTATCGAAATATCTAATTCCTTTGAAAGTATAATCGAATGATAAGGAGTATTGTGAGAAAATATCTACTGAGGAATCTGCTCCATCAGTTGTTATTTGGTAGTCACCAATTAAATTCAATTCGAGATGTTTCCTTGGCATGCTTCAAGAGGTTATTTCCTTAACAATTCCACATTTATTTGAAACCCTGTATGATGAAGCCAATATTCGAGTAATTGGGAAAGAACTTGCCAAACAATTTGTTCTATCAAACTTCAAAAACAGTAGTACAGTGTTCAGTATTTTTTTGGAATAAAGTTGTTAGCTCAAGTTAAAACCAATCGAAAATGTTAGATAAAACTGTCCAGGAATCCCCAATGAAAATCTTCAGAGAACCCGGAATGTGGAATTTTGTTCTGCATGTCTAAAAAAGAGAGACAGATTCATTGTTGCTTGAGAACTTTCGCTTTTGTTATGTGCGTTACTGCGTTATCGATCATATAGAGCGGAAGATTTCAATTAAACTTCTCAGGTTGTGCTTTGACTTGTCCCTCGGGAGTGTATATAGTATCCCCTGTGGTAAAACCTTGCTCATATTAATCTACGCACAGTTTGTGCAGATACTTCCAGCAATAGGGATAGGATTGCCGAAACGGCTATTGTACGGTGGCTTATATCGTTTCTCTGTCCGTTTGTCTGACATACAGGCAGAGGCGAACCGAAAGAAAATTTTTGGGGGGATCAGTAAGTGAATTTTGCCAGCTCATTTTCCAATTTCGAAATTTCGAGTTTGAACTGGGAATATTGGGATACAAGAAATTTAATTTTCTGTGAGCTATATATGAGTCGAAAATTCAGAGTACGCTGTTGGAAATCCTGGGTTGATAAATATCGAACAGTATTCTAGAACATGCCGTATCTGTGCTTTGTATATCATGATGCAGGAGCGTCATTTCATTGTATACTAGGAGGGAGGGGCAGAATTAGGGGGAGAATTAGAATATTTCCAGAGTGACAACAACTTCATATCACATATAAATCACATTTTATTCAATTACATTTTCTCATTTTCTTGTGATTGCTATAAAAAATGACAATTGGCAGAGCAAGTGAAAAGTATTTAAATACTCTGTGCAATAACTGTGCAGGTGAATGTTCCTTTTTTCAGAATTTTCAATATTTTTCAATATTTTTTCACTCGTTTCTTTGAATGAAAATCTGATTATATTTAACCCATATGTGTTATGAGGATAAAGTGTCATTGATTATTGGTAACAGATTTATCTCCCATCAGTTTCAAGAAAGTGACATATTTTGAACATAGTGACATTATTGTTTTCCTATATTTTTCATTTTTAGAAACTAGGAGAGGAGATCTCAAAGAATCTATAGGGACATGAGTAGTATTTTGTTAATGAAAAACCAAAATGAAGGAACTTCAAGTAGATAAAAATAAATCAAAATATATCTGAATGAGGTTGAACTAATGTAAATCATTGTTTGAGTACTGTTGAATGGATTTTATCAAGCAAGGAATACTGACTCACTTCCCAATTTTGCGGAATTATTGAGAGATTCTCTAATTCATTTCGATATTTTCATATTATTCATTCCATGCAAGAACTATCAGTCTGTTGTCCGCTCCTTGATATTTTCAAATGGCCGAAGGCCAGTTTTTATATTTGAGGAAATTCTGATATTTACTTCCCTATTTAGGTATATATTTTTGTGTTTGATACCTAATATTATACTACCTGGCATATCGAAAATTGAAAATG